AATTTACCAGAAGCTCATTTTTGTGGCAAAAACTTGTAAAAAAGAAGTGTTTCTTGTACAAATCTGTGGTTAATTTGTTCTTTGGAGAAATAACTCACATATTAATTTTAGTGGGGTTAAAGATTTGAAACATTAAATTTCTTGTGATTTAGGCTTTTAAAATATTCACCTATTAATATAGAGATTTAGTTGAGCACCGTCAATGAAATTAATTAAAAATTAAGTACTACTTTATCCTGAAACTTCTTCATGATCATATATGCCTTCAAGTCTTCAACTCCACATTTAGGTGTTCATGGTAAAGGTTTGATAAGTTGTATGTTTTGTGATTATTGTGCTTTGTGATTATAAGTGAATATTAACGATTTTCAAATATATGTGTTAATGTCTCGTGAATATGAGCATACTCCAGTTTCTCATAAATTACTGTGGTATATTGAAAATATCAAGTCATTGGCTACAAAATGTGTTGAGGAAAATAGGAAATGCATATGAAAGTTATATATTCAATCTGTTCAGGAAATAGGCAAAACCATGTGTCACCTTCCGGTTGGTGGTCTCTTTCAGTTTCCAAGTGATGGGAATCTGGAGTTTTTTCACTTACTAAAACATACAATGTGAAATCACATGGTTTGTTTCCCAATTATCCATTAATTTAAAGTAATTAGTAGGCTTTTTTGTAAAGACAGAAGTGGTTAAGATATCTCCTACTGTTCAAGATTCAATGAATCATGTGGCCAATGATGTTTGAAGAACTAATTTGTTATACATCTTTTGGAAGACAAAACCAGTTGTTGATGCCTCAATCTTGCAAGCTGGCAGCCTTTCCATGTGGAACTCTCTAACCCGCTCAATCCTTCTCTCAGTGGATCTATATAAGCACAACGTAGTTTGGTATATTTCCCAACTCAAAAACCTACCTTCACACAACTCCTAAAAGAATTTGCATCTGCAAATAATTTTTTGAGGACTAAAAAAAACTTCCCACCATGGCAGTAAGTATGGCAAAGATTCTGCGTGGCACTAAGCCAAGCCTGAGGAGGTCTTCTTCAAGAGCAAACAAAGAAAGTGAGGTTCCTAAGGGCCACTTTGCAGTTTATGTCGGTGATGGTGAAAAGAAGCGCTTTGTCCTTCCAATATCTTACTTGAAGGACTCTTCATTCCAAGACTTGCTTAGTCAAGCTGAGGAAGAATTTGGATTTGATCATCCCATGGGAGGACTCACCATACCTTGTCCGGAGGGTACCTTCCTAGAGATCATCTCGAGCTCGAGATGATCATCATTACAGAAAACAGATAGAGGTGTTCTAGTATAGTTTAGCCAACAATTTTGTTTGGGTAGACGTGTTTTCTTGTACAGTTTATTCAGAGAATATACTATAACTTCATAGTATGACTACCATTTCCCTTTGGAACTTTTTCTGTTTTATCCTGCTACACACTATAATGTTTCGTCAGAAGTGATTTTGAAATAGTTACTTGAGCTTGGATGCAACAAAGAACTAGCTTTTACAAGATAAGCAAACAGAAAAATGAAATAACCTGTTAAAAAAACAATCATAAGCAACAAATTTCCAGAACAGTATTTGTTTCAAAAAAACAAGCTGACAGCTGACTATAGGTTTCAGTCGATGCTCCTCTCACACAACTTCTTTCCCCGAAAGTAGTCTATATTTTAAAATACATCTCATATAGTGATATAATCTGGGTTTGAAGCTGTCCATATCATGCTATAAATATCACATTTGATATTTGTTGAACATTGAAACTATACACAGAGGAAATTTTACATTTTTATCATATCAAGCCAAATTTATATGCATGAAATATCGATATACATTCCAAGCTGCGGTTTAATGAAAAAACACTTATGCTTGGCTATCTCATGATCAGTTTCAAAACAGAGAAGTTCACTTCTTATATTGTGGCCTAATAGCAGGAATGTACTCCCTCCGTCCCCCTAAGTTTGGGACGGAGGGGTGTGGTGTGGTTTTTAAGAAAAAGTGGAATTGTGTGGTTGGTATTGAATTGATAAAGTGTAAATAAAGTAAGAATGAATTCTAACCACTCAAATGTTACCAAATATGGTATGGGACAAACTTAGTGGGACGGACGAAAAAGGTAAAACGGGACAAACTTAGGGGGACGGAGGGAGTATCATTCTTTTTTGAATAACTATGGCCCTTCGAAGTGGATGGAGAAATCCGTTTAAAAAAATAACCAAAACCATGTGCTACATAACTAGTTTAAGTGTGGCATTTCACTTCAACTAGCAATAAGTGGACTCTGTAGCTTTTTCCATATACTGAGACATACAATTGTGAAATGTGTTGGAGTTAAGCTATATCCATCTATTCAATTGCATAGAAGAAATGTGGGGAATGGTTTTCATACAAGGCTTTATCCTTTAACTTGTGAGGAGAAATTCTTTATACATCGAAAATGGAACCATGTGATATTGTCTCTTTGTGTTAAAAACAAAAACAAAACAATATTACCTCTTATCTTGTTTGCTAGCTTCTCTCTAATTCAAGTGTCAATTAACTGCGCAATCCACTTTCAGAAAGATCTTTATGAATATAGATTTGAGGTTTGTATACACCCCAGTCAATCTAATCATGCATAGTACACTTAGTTTCTGCACCTACCTATTACATAGTCCGTATATTATTCCAACATCATAAGGACCCTTGATTCCAAGATTTGTTGAGACATAAATAAAATGGACCCTAGAAATAATATATATAGCCTTCATCTAGTATGTAGATATGTTCCTTCATATTGTTCTTTAATTCCACTACTATCTTTCTAGCAATAGAAGCATCAACAAAGTCTTGAAGGGATGTAAATGATTTTTTTCACCTTCCCTTCTTTTGGCATAACATAAACTTTTTCAAAAACACCTTGTGTCCCATAGTCAGTTAACAGTGTTTCTTCCTATTGTTCTTCTCATATTTTTATTTATTTATTGAGGCTAACTTTCTGCTCCATCTTCATCTCTCACTTTGTAGGCTATCTAGAGTAGTTGAGCTATCCCAATTACATTAAAGCAAGTGGGGATGATGTTCTTTACCTGCAAAGCTGGTAGTAGACATTATTAATCCTTTTTGGAAGACCAAAGCATGTGGCAGTGATATATGTGGTTGAACTATCCCACCATATATGCAAGCTGGATGCCCTCCCACCCAAACCTGTCTTAGCTACTCATTCCACCTCCTAAAGATCATAAATCTATATAAACACATCTCATTTGGCATTCACCCCACAAAACTCAAGGGATTCCTTCATTTAAAATCACACATTCTCTGCATTTAGAGGTGTTTTTCTAGCTTAACGTTGTCAATTAACACTTCCAGAAACATTTGAAAATGGCAATCAGTATGGGGCACATCCTCCGTCCTAAGCAAGGACTCAGAAGGTCTTCTTCAAGATCAAACAGAGAAAGTGAGATTCCTAAGGGTCACTTTGCTGTGTATGTTGGGGGAGAGCGAAAAGAAGCGTTTTGTCATTCCAATTTCATACCTGAAAGACCATTCCTTCCAAGAGTTGTTAAGTCAAGCTGAAGAAGAATTTGGATTCAATCATCCTATGGGTGGACTCACTCTACCTTTTCCTGAGGACACCTTCCTTGACATAATCTCTAGTATGAGACTATGAGTAGTTCTTGATAGGCTTCAGTACATAGAGTTCTTTTATACAGTACACAGCTTAGAATATAGTCAGAACATTTTTTTGCAGAGGAAATTACTGTTGTACTGGTGTAAAATGTCCTTTGTTATCCTATCAGATTGGGAAATATCAATACATACTCTTATATCCATTTATTACTTGTCTTGAAACATTTATGAGTGATAGGAAAGGAAGTCTAAACGTTCCAGTTAATTTGAGATAAAAAAAAATCCTTATTATTTTTTAATAATGTTTTAAGACAACAAAAATGGCTGAAAATTTTCCTAGCTATCTTCAAGTGAGTGAAACATACGATACTATGTTCCTGCAATTAACGCTCATTAGATAGAGGCACTAAGATGTCCTCCAAATTGGTGTACTTTTCAGATGTTTCAATTCTTCACCTTTCACAAGAGTCAACTGGCTACAAAACATGTTGAGGAAATGCATATGGAAGTGATTAAAATTCCATCACATGGTTTGTTTCCCAATTATCCATTAATTCAAAGTAATTGGTAGGCTTTCTTGTAAAGACACAACTGATTAGGATATCTCCTTGTGTAGTTGTGTTCAAGATTCGATGAATCATGTGGTTAATGATGTTTGAAGAACTAATTTGTTATACATCTTTTGGAAGACAAAACCAGTTGTTGATGCCTCAATTTTTCAAGCTGGCAGCCTTTCCATGTGGAACTCTCTAATCCCCTCAATCCTTCTCCCAGTGGATCTATATAAGCACAACGTAGTTTGGTATTTTCCCAACTCAAGAACCTACCTTCACACAACTCCTAAGAGAATCTGCATCTGCAAATAGTTTTCTGAGGACTAAAAAAACCTTCCCACTATGGCAGTAAGTATGGCAAAGATTCTGCGTGGCACTAAGCCGAGCCTGAGGAGGTCTTCTTCAAGAACAAACAAAGAAAGTGAGGTTCCTAAGGGCCACTTTGCAGTTTATGTTGGTGAGGGTGAAAAGAAGCGATTTGTTCTTCCAATATCATACTTGAAGGACTCTTCATTCCAAGATTTGCTTAGTCAAGCTGAGGAAGAATTTGGATTTGATCATCCTATGGGAGGACTCACCATACCCTGCCCGGAGGCTACCTTCCTTGAGATCATCTCGAGCTCGAGATGATCATCATTACAGAAAACAGATAGAATATGTTCTAGTATAGTTTAGCCAACAATTTTGTTTGGGTAGAAGTGTTTTCTTGTACAGTTTATTCAGAGAATATACTATAACTTCATACTACGGCTACCATTTCCCTTTTGAAATAATTACGTGCGCTTGGATGCAACAAAGAACTAGCCTTTACAAGATAAATGAATAGAAAAATGAAATAACCTGTTAAATAACAACCGCAAGCAACAAGTTTCCAGATTTAAGAGTTCAGTATTTATTTTATAAAAGCTGATTACAGGTTTCAGCCTATGGTCCTAACACACAACATCTTTCCCCGAAAATAGCCTATATTTTAAAGTACATCTCATATAATCTAGGTTTGAAACTGTCCGTATCATGCTATTTTTATTTTTGGGTACAGTTGAAGAACGCTCATTGAGATAATAAGCCGAGTATCTATCAATTATTAAAGTTACCCAAATGCAGTAGAGCGACAGGCCAAAAAAGGTGAAGGAGGCAGGGTTCAACAGAAGCACAGACAAAACGCCCTTTAGGTCAACTTGTGTATGGTTTTCATATCAGCAGCTTCCATGAGGGAGCCTTTCTCAACATGATCCCACCATTTGAATAAGAAATTATGGACAACCAATGTGAACCAAGGAGATAGCTTTATACCATCCTCTCCTGCATCTGCTTTCCTCAATATCTCTTTTAGCTCTTCTCTATTCACATATTTAACATCAGCAACCTCATCTGGATTCGGGTGCACCCGCACATCCCGCACGATGAAGAGAAGATAATCGAGCTCATGTTCTCCCCACTTCCCATCAGAAGGTTCTTTGTAAAGGATCCTACCCAATGGTGTGAACTGGTCAACTGGGACATCCTTTGCAGGGATCCCCAACTCATCAAGAAGTTTCCTTTGTGCTGCATTCCTTACCCCAATAGCGTTCTGTTCAATAAGCTCAGACTCTCGGTAGAGAGGATGACTGCAGCAGGTGTTTGTCCACACCAAAGGGAAGGTGACCTTTGTCGCAGACCTTTGCTGAAGAAGCAATTCATATTTTGAGTTAAATAAGAAAACACTGAAGGCTCTGTGAAGCAAATTCTGGGATTCAATCTTCTCCATAAGATGACAATTGTACTTGGTATCATGACCAACGACACTGTCATTTTCATCTACCAAAATACACTCGTCGTCAAACATGAGACGGCGTTGGACAGCGTCCATGTTGGCATCGGCGACGGCGTCACCCATGGCGGTGGTGGAGGCGGCGCGGCGAATGGAAGATCCGAAGCGAAGATACACAGGTTTAATTGAAAAGAGCTGAGGATTGTAAGCGTTTATCACCCGGCGGCTGAGGACGGGAGAGAGCATCCGCCCCATTTGAAAAGTTGCAGTCAACGACATTTTGGTAAGGCCTTCTCTCTCGTAGAAATCGTAGCGGAGGGTATATCAGTTTTTCTGTGCATATCAATGCTATAAATATCATATTTCATACTCCCTCCGTCCCAATATAAAAGACACATTTGTGTTTGGGGAGTTTTTAAGGGTGAACACTGTTTGAACACTGTTTGACACTGTTTAGACACTGTTTGACACTGTTTGGACACTGTTTGAGACTGTTTGGCACTGTTTTGCACTGTTTAGTTTGCCAAAAAGGGAAATGTGTCTTTTATATTTGGACGGACCGAAAAGGAAAGTGTGCCTTTTATATTGGGACGGAGGGAGTATGAAATACTCCCTCCGTCCCATTAAAATTAAAATTAGAACAATTCGATCTATGATGCTTGACCGACAATAAAATAAACAGATCTTTATCCGTTCTCAAATTATTTTTAGAAAAAAAAATTACATATTCAGAAAATATATTAAAATTTTTACGAAGTTGCAAAAACTTGAATCAAATTTGATAAAAAATTGATGTATAAAGTAAGAGATTAAAAGTAATTTGTGTTGACCAAGTGAATAGTGTTCGAGACAATTTTAGCCGGAGGAAGGAAGTATCATTTACTCCGTAAAATACATCTCATATATTGTGGGCCTTGTGGCCTAATAGCAGGAATGTATCATTTTTTTCAATAACTGTGGCCCTTCAAAGTGGATGGAGAAAACCGTTTGAATAAAAATGAATAAATTTCAATTTTGGTCCTACGAGTTTTATGTGATTTCCATATTTAGTCCGCATCTTTCACTTTATCCACTTTTGATACATGACTATTGTGTTTTCGCCCATATATGGTCCTTCCGGCATTGTTTCCGATTGATAAAATCGTCGGAAAATGACCACAAACGTTTAAAAACATTAGTCAAGTACCAAAAGTAGATAAAATGAAAGACGTGGACTAAAATTGGAATTGACACAAAACTCGTAGAATCAAAGGTGGAATTAATTCGAATAAAAATAACCAAAACCATGTGCTACCAGTCTACCACACTAGTTCAAGGGTGGCATTTCACTTCAACCAGCAATAAGTGGAATCTGGAGCCTTTTCCATTTACTGAGACATACAATTGTAGTTTAGTTGTCTCATCTATTCAAATGCATAAAAGAAATGTAGGGAATGATTTTCATGCAAGGCTTTATCCTTTAACTTGTGAGTAGAAATTCATTATATATGGAAAATGGAACCATTTGATATTGTCTCTCTGTGTTTTAAAAAACAATATTATCTCTTATCTTGTTTGCTAGCTTCTCTCTAATTCAAATGTCAACTAGCTGCGCAATCCACTTTCAGAAAGATCTTTATGAATAGATTCGAGATTTGTGTAAACCCCAGTCAAGAACATCATTCATAGTAAACTTTGTTTCTGCAACATCATAAGGCCCTTTGATTCTAAGATTTGTTTAGGAATAAATAATATGGAACCCGGACATAATGTATATATATAGCCTTCATGTAGCATGTAGATATGTTCCTTCATATTGTTCTTTAATTCCACTACTATTTTTTTTTGGATGAAATGTAAATATATATTAACACCCAGAAAAATTATACATCACATGTCCTAGATCTCTTAAAACCTCCCCCACCCCCACATAATGTGGGGGTGAAAGGAGGTTTTTATTCGATCTATCCATGTCAAAATAGCCAGGTATAAAACCCGACTCATCAGGAGGTTCAAAAAATGCATCAGTGCTGCAATGCACGCACGCAGATCAAAGCCTAAAATCAGAAAAAAGTACAAGGTGTTGCAAGATGCACACACCCAAAACATACTCCACACTGCGGCATCCATGATGTCCATGCCACGGTGTCCTGAGTGCCCAAGCTACGGCATCGAAAGTATCCACATCACGGCCTTTATCTTAAAACTTGATCGGCTCTAGTGGATAGATACTAAAGAGTATTCTATAAACCACAATCTTGATCTTAGCTACAATGTCTTCCTCATTCTTTGTCACTTCATCAAACCTAGCCTCGTTCCTTGCTCTCCAGATGTAGTACACCGAAGCACAAAATGCCAGTCGCACCGCTTTTCCTTTTAACTTCGCTCCTTTGTGCATCTTTAGCACCCATTTAACCGAGCTTGCTAGCGTGGTCATTTGGTGGCTAAGTCCCATCCATTCCCTAATTCGTTGCCATATCCTACATGTAAAAGGACATTGGAAAAAAAGGTGTGATATTGTTTCCAAATCACCCTTGCATAAGTCACATCTATTCACAATATGTAAATATCCGAGACTATCCTGAGTAGGAAGCCAGTTTCTTAAAGCCAACCAAACATTGAATGAGAATTTCGGGGGGATGTATGACTTCCAAATGAAGCTCATCGAAGTCCTAGTCTCGCCTTTAACCCGTAGTAGCTCGTACACCTTGCCCGAGACTAATTTCCCATTTATGGCCCTGGAGTTGAGACCTAAGATGGTGTCATTCAGATTATTAAAACATCCTCTCAATTTGTCTCGAATGAGACTCATCCGCTTCATGAACTGAGAGTCTCGATTGTGTGGGATAAAATCCCACACATTTCTACCCTTAAGATAGACTCCGTTGACCCACTTTACCCATAAAGTATCCTTTTTATTATGTACGTCCCAGATAATACGTGATAGGAGGGCATGGTTCCAAATTTTAGCATTATGTATCCCTAGCCCACCTTCCGCTTTTGGTAAGCAGATATCATCCCATGCAACCTTCGCAAATTTCCCACCCCATAAGAAGATCCTACAAATGGACACAATCCTATCCAAAATCGTTTGGGGAACCGGAAAGACTTGGAGCCAGAACGACTGCACCCCTTGGATTACCGATCGAATTAACTCCATCTTTCCGGCATAGGATATTGTCTTTGTGTTCCAACTGTTAAGGAAATCTTGGACTATGGAAATCAAAGGTGCATATTGTGCTACCGAAACTCTTAAAGGGGCAAGGGGAATTCCAAGGTATCGAACCGGAAAAGTACCTTGCCCATAGTCTACGAGGTCTAAGATGTTTTGTAATTCTAAGTCCCTCACCCCACCAACAAAAATATTGGATTTGTCATGGTTTACCCTTAGCCCAGATACATCCCCAAACTCTTTGAGAGCATGAACAAGTATTCGTATAGAATATATGTCACCTCTGGAAAAGAGCATTAGATCATCCGCATAGGCAAGGTGTGTAATACCAAGTGACACACATTGGGGGTGGAAATTAAAGCTCCCTTCATTAGTTCTCACAGTGAGTAACCGGGAGAAATACTCAAGGCATAGGACAAAAAGCAGAGGGGACATTGGATCCCCTTGCCGTATGCCCCGCTTACCATTAAAAAAACCATACAAAGAACCATTCAAAGAGATCGAATACGAGGGAGTGGATACACACTCCATGATCCAACCTATAAATCTAGTTGGGAAGCCCAAACCCACCAAGACACTTCGGAGGAAATCCCAGGATATGGTGTCATAGGCCTTACGCAGATCCACCATAATCATACAACGTGGTGAGATCCGCTTCCTGTTGTATCCTCTAACAAGTTCCTGGGCAAGGAAAATGTTATCAAACATCAGGCGGCCATCTACAAACGCTCCCTGTGCTTGATTAATCATCCCCGGAAGGCAAGGAGTCATTCTAGCCGCAATAATTTTGGTAATAACCTTGTACAAAACATTTGTACAAGAAATGGGTCGATAACCCGAGGCTTTTGGAGAGTGGCTAGTCTTAGGGATAAGCGTTATCACAGTATGATTAATCTGTTTAAGCAATTTTCCCGTTCGAAAAAACTCCTTAATAGCCTGAATCATGTCATTCCCCACAAGACTCCAATTGGCTTTAAAGAAAGCCGAGGAGAACCCATCAGGTCCTGGTGCCTTATCATCCCCGATATCGAATAAGGCATCTTTAATTTCCTTATCCGTTATCGGAGAAAGAAGGCCATCATGAGCATCTGGCTCAATCAGAGGACCAGTACCTACAACCGAGTGGTCCAGGTCAAGGGTATCCACCTGAGACCCAAACAAATCAACAAAAAAATTAACAAATACATTACCAACATCATCTAAAGACTTAGTAATAGTGCCATTTTCCCGCGTGACCGAGGATATAGCATTCCGTGCCGCATTCCTCTTCACCATGGCATGGAAATAACGTGTGCCTTTATCTGCTTCAAGAATGTGCGTTGCTTTGGCCCTCTGTTGGAAAAAACACCCCTCGGCCTCTCCCAAAAACATCGCATTTTTCCTAGCCGCAATCAATTGCTCTTGGAGTTGTTCATCCATCGGTGAGGCCATCAGCAGTTTGTTCAATCTTTTGAACTCCTCCTTTGCAAGTTTTGCTTTTGTCGAGATATGCCCAAACTCCACTTCATTAAGCTTCTTTAACGGTGCTTTCAACGCCTTAAGCTTCTTGACAAACACATATTGAGCTGTACCATTAACAAAAACATTCCAATTCTGCAATACTATGTTAGCAAAGTCCTTATGTTTAATCCACATATTAAAAAATTTAAAGGGTTTTGGCCTTAAAGAGGAACTTAAGAGTATAGAAGATACGGAAGCCGTATGATCAAACTCAGCCTCCATTTCACAGAAATGAGCCTTACACACAATTCCTTTTTGTTCCCAAACATCATTTAAAAGCACTCTGTCAAGCTTGGCCCATAAGGAGCCCCTATTCCATGTGAAGAATTCCCCAGTGGATGGGGCATCCTCAAGGTTAGCTATGACTTTGAAATTAATCAGATCTTGCATCATGTAAGCCGAGGGTGGGGCAGACCCCAACCTCTCACTTGGATGACAAACACAATTAAAATCCCCCATCACTATCCAAGGTTCCGTAAGACGGTTCCCGGAGATGGCAAGATGTTCCCAAAGGGCCCTACGCTCCAAGACTGTATACAGGGGATAAACGAAGGTGGCCATGAAGGTGGTTTGCGTGATTCGACACACACATTTAATATGCATATGTTGAGAGTCAACCTCATGTACCACACAGGATAGGAACCCGGGGTTCCATATCACCACCATACGGCCACCAGATATAAAA